AAATCCCTTTCTCCTTGCCCCCCATGTAACCTAACCCACAATCCTTCTACTTCCTCATTCTTTGATTCCGTCTTGATGAGGGTCGATGTATATTGCTCATTGACATAGAGCGCAACCCCTCCCCCTTTCTTCCCCACCCTGTCCTTTCTGTACAGCCTATAACCCTCAATATGTACCGCCCAGTCAGACACACACATTTCAAAAACCATTTTGCTAGCTCTTATAATGCATGGGTGGACCAAATGCTAAAATAATCGCAAACAGAGTTTTAAAACTTGGCAATGAAAACATCATTGCTTTAATAAAGCAACAGACTTCTTCAGTTTCCTTCTTAGTGCCAGTTTCAGTTTATTTTTATCAATATCATAAGGAAGAGTTGTCAGTTTCCCATTCTGTTCCACAGGACAGAGGAATTGCTACTGGATCTCATGAATTGACCCTACTAGAGTGGTAATCAGGTTTAAGATGAAGGAATGGGAAATGTGTACAATAACTGACCCACTGGAAGTTTCTTTGCACAACTAGGCAACTAGAGGTTGGTCCGTGACATGAAACAGATGGATTTGTGTCCATTCTGCCTGTGTTTAAAAATATATATATATTTCAAAGAGGAGAGTAGGCTTCAAACACTTTTCTTTCAGATTTGCACCACAGAACTTTTGTTGCATTTGCACTAACTTTATCATCAGCCCAATGAGCAAATGTAGACTATGTAATGGAGAGCTGTTGTGTGGGAAAGGCAGCCTCAGTGCAGATCTGAGATGTCTTTTTTTTCCCTAAAGCAGACACTGGAAGATATATCAGGAACGAGGGGTCCCTCTCACTTGACTTCACAAAGCAAGATTTCCAAGTCTTGCTCAAATCCACGGTCTGCCCCACCCTTTGCTGGGCTGAGTGTTGCACAAATGCAGAGGCTGTTTGGACTTACTAGGGCAGGGAGCAGCTGTAGAGTTGCTCAGTCAGGGCTACCCCAGCCCAGTATATAAAATAACACTCTCAGAAAGGACAGAAAACAGATCCATGGAGTAGCAGACCAGGCAAAAGGATCTTTCATTTCTCCTATGTCAAGGGCAAAAAGTCCAAGTGCCACAAAAGTAGCCCAGGCAGCCTGTGTGTGTGGCACGCGACAGATCAAGGAGGGGACAGGTGGCACAGCAGCAGAGAAGGCAGGGAGCGCAGGGCAGCAAGCAGTACAGGAGATTGGGCAGGGAGCACAGAGTAGAGAGCAAAAGCAAAGCAGCAGATTGGGAGAAGAAGAGGATCAAAGTGGAATGCAGGGATGGTATAGGGTTAATCTGTGGCACACCTGCAAAAAAGATTGACCCTGACTTGACTAAAGTAACTTGCCATAGCCTAATCTTAAACCCCATTTCGGATTCAGCATGAAGGCTTTCCCTGGTCAAACTAGCTGTAAATGGGCACTTGCTCATTCAGGCTGTGGAATTAAAGGTGCTGGATGAGATAGTTGTCATTAGCTATAGAAACTGGTGTGCTTTACTCAAGCTTTTGGACTTGGAACAGGTCTTTTAAACTTTACTTTTGATTCAGGTGGTAGGATCCCAATATCATTCTAGAAAGCAGGGAGCAAGCTCTGGAGACCCCTGCTCCAAACTTGTGTCTGGGTGCAACTAGAGATTGGACTCATGCTGACTAAGAATATTTCAGTTCTATGGGACTGGCAGCCAGATTTGGAGAGCAGAGGTGTGGAGTCTAAGGCAGCGTAAATCTACCTGTGGTGAGCTAGGCAACCAAGGTAAAACTTGTTTCTTTTTTGTCCAAAGGCTCCTTTCTACCAGGCTGGTAATGTAAAGGGAACTGAAAGTGTGTATGAACATAATTTAATTCCATTTTAAGGGCCTCTTTAATCTACCTGATGTAAATAAGAGTCAGAACTTGGGCGTCTGACTGTGCTCATAGTGATTTAGACTGTGAATTAAAAAAAAACAAACTTTATAATCTTCTGTAGATTGTCCTGCATATAACAACATTAGCTTCTGTAATAAATGTATCAAGCATTTCTACTCTGGTGCTTTTGTATATCTATTGCACTTATTTATTCCATTATTCTCAGCATCAAAAAACGGTAATAAGCATCCATGTTTCAATGCTTTTCTGCAGGGACTATTTGGTTTGGAAAAGGAGAAGCAAATTTGAACTTCCGTCTGAAGAAAATCCCGATCAATTAGTTTTAGATACAAATTGCTCCAAAGAATGCATCTGTTCCAGAGTTTCCCTGATATGGGACAATGGTATCAACAGATCGGGTCTCCTCCAGTGTTTTCTTGCTTCTTGTTTTCTGAACTCCTTCCAGTTTGTCTAGTGTTCTGTTAACAAGTGGGTCAGAACTAAATGACACCTTATAAGAACGGTCTTGGCACCTGTTCTAATGATGGTTTCTTTGGCCGCAATTTTCTTGTTTGCTCATATTTTAAAAAGTATAATTACTACTGTGGAGTGGCAAATAACCCATAGGGATACTGAGAGAGAAAAAGGGAGCCAGTGATTCAATCCAAATATAGTACAGTTAGTGCCTCATGGTAGCCATATGTTGGCACCTGGTACAATGGGTACCTGAAAGTTCTTAGAAGAAACCCTTTGAAATTACTGCGGTAGGAATCAGAAGAAATGGGCTAGAGACAGCAATACAAATAAATATTTTATAAGACAATGTGAAGTTTAATAACTGATTTAATAAATCCCACAATAAAGTAACACTTTTTTCAATTAAACAAATGTATAGTAAATCATTACAATAAAAACTCCAAATACATGTTTACCATACTTTTAACTACATTGACTGTAAACCCCAATTTAATTAAATTCTATTTGAATATCCAGTAAGTGCAAAATACCGTTGGTTTTTTTCAGGAAGTTTGTATAGAAGGGATGCACAATTTTTATAAACTGTGATATGGCTTAGTTAGTGATATTCTGTATGTACTGAAGCATTAGCTTCCCCAAAACACTGCTACTTCATCTCGGAGCTGAATGTGCTGGAGTACTGTAGTATTGCTGCTTCTGTTAGAAAGAAATACAAACATAATCCAGTATTATGTGCACTTTGTTCAAACTAATACTGTGATGTTACTTTGCACCTCTGAAAGTTTGTCATGTAATTTGCTACCTCAAAAAGAGAAAGAAACCAAGTCATGTTTGTTAGTCCTAATCTCAGCTACAGAACAGCCTGATGAAAATATGAATAAGTTTCAAACAGATGGTTGTCTTGGTATTTACAAACAAATATCAAACCAGTCATTGTAGGGCAAAAATTATCCTTTCTGATCCACTCACAGACTTATTGTTGATGTCAGTAGAAGTACTGTATAGAGATCAAAGTGCAAAACGTGCAAGAGATCTGAGGCCAAATGCCAGCTTCCTTTTCAGCTTTCCAGACCATATTCATGCTGCCCTTGGTCTCATATCCAATTACCCTCAGACGGGTGTAATCAGAGTTGGGGAAGATGCAGACAAATCAGCAGGATTGCATGCAAGTTTACCCCTATACAGTCAATGTGCAGAAGGCTCAGTGAGCCCATAGGACCAAGCTTCACAGAAGAGCCAAGCTCAGAAAAAAAAATCTCCTGCTTGATATCCTCTTCTATATTCAAATGCAAAGAAAGGCCCATCTGAATTTTACCCCTGTAGTATGGTTATCACCACCTATTGGATCAGAAAGGAGGATTTTGTCTGAAGATTGGTAGAAGAAAAAGAAAATAAGTTTGTGAATTCACATATTTTTCATAAAGCAAGCAGTGTGATACAGTGAATCATTGTCATTTATCAAATAGTTATGCACAGAACAAATGTAAAGATGAAATGGGGAAAAAACAAAACAAAACGATTGTAGGTCTAAGACTGGGGAATGGAACACATGCGAAATCTCCGCTTCCTACTTGCCTGTTAGAATATCTATGTATTTTGTTTATATATGACGGTATCTTTATTATTTAAGAAGTTTGCTATAATTTAACAATGCAAAACAATCATGAAAAACATTCAATTACAGCACATTTATTATTTATAATTAGAAGGCATGCTAATTAACTGGCCTTTACACTTGATTCAAATGTTGGTTTTCAGACATTCAAGATTATTAATAGTAAGGTCACCTTAAAAGTCAAAACATTGTAAAATAAATAAGGGTTTCTAATGTATAAATGCTATTCTAAAATACATTATTAAAGATAACCAATCAATTAAAATACATTGGATCCAGTCCTGAAGTCTCTAGATAGACAATGGAAGGCCTGGACAACAGACCACGTCATTTGGGTCTCCAAATGCCTGTATTAAAGCTAAGTTTCTGTTCTGGGTACAGTAAATTGTCTGTATTTTTCCACGCGTCTGAAGAGACAATGTATAAAAGAGTTCAACTAGCACTGTGTGCATCATCATTTAAGATACTGTAAAAACTGACTATTGCAAAAATACTGTATAACCAGATCTGGGATCATTCAGTGTTATGGATCCCAGACATGATCAATTTTAAAGTTTTTCATTCAAATACTGAATTCTCAGTGCTCCATTTGGAGTACAGGTACTTTAGTGGCACACAATTAACAAAGGACAGTATTGAAGTATAATCTATGAGGTATCTGCAGAGCCATATCTCAATCTGTAAACAATATTCTGGAAACATCTTTGTCTGAAAATCATGAGCTGAACAATAAACCAGTACAAAAGAGAGCACACAAACAAATGTGTGTTCTGTAGGATAACTCCTGCACACTTTGCAGAACCAATTCTTCCTGTTGCATCAACTATTAATACAACTTCATCCATTAGGAATTTTAGGGATTTTGTTCAATCTGTTTACATTTATTGCTCTTTAGTCTTTGACTACAAGATGAAGAATAAGGCAGCAGTTCCCAAAACATATGAAATTAGGCACTGGAACTCTGACAATTTGCACAGGTTTTGTTTACTTCCTGTTTGTAACTCTGAAGCTGGACAGAGCACTTATACATTCCAAACGTGTTCAGCAGCAAGTGTCTGGCCTTGGACTGAACTTCCTCCCATTTGGATGAACTACCAGGAACTGAAAAATGAAGAAAAATATGAACATAGTTTATCTGTCAAGAAACTCCTTGCAGCCCAACTATTTCAATACACATTCTACCTGGTGGAACTGCCTACTCATCTTTGTTTAACTTCATAGATTTGATAGACACTAGGGCTGGAAGGGACTTCATGAGATCATTGGGTCCAGCCATCATCAGGTCCAACCATAACTTAATATGGTATCTGTTCATTTAGCATCTTACTATATTATTTTATCCTCTTGTTCTTGTAAACAGATCTTCAACTTTAAAAAAAATTAAGGGTTTTGTAGGCCAAAAAGATTATTTTTTTCTGTACAATTCACACAGAATTGTGCATATGGTTCACTTTTACAATTCACAGACAGAGAAGGTAAAATGCTTGGCTGCTTCATTATATATGGTTACCCTGCTTTAGCTGGGCAGATTGGGGTGATATATGCCTTGTATTGTGTCAGGACTGATGGTAATCTTATGAAGAGTTTAGATAATGGATTGTATAAAATCGTTTGGATAGGGATGATCCTGTCTCAGGCAGGGGGTTGGACTAGATGACCTGTGGAGGTCCTTTCCAGCCCTACTTCTCTGTCGTTTTATAATTTTCTATGATATCATATCTCACATAACTGCTAAATGTAAACACTCAGGTATTGTGTTGGATGTCTAAGACATTGAAATGCATTTTGAATCAAAGATATTATGCACTTTCCAGAGGATAGGTGGTGTTTCTTTTATCTGTATGTGACAGTTGCCTGTGTTCACATATCTTTATCTTGCCCTCACTCAATGTTCTCAAAGAAATTCTCTTATCCCCATTTCTACCTGAATCCCAAAACCTGTACTGAAGCTTTCACTGATTGAAGACAAACTGAACACTTGCTTTTTACAAAGCTTCTAGAAAAAATTATAAAAAAAATATAAAAACTGATACCCACCACTTACAAATTAAATGGGGCAGCTGTTTTCTAGACCAAGTTCAGATGATAAAGCTGAAGTATGCGAATCTGAGCTGCTCAGTTTTTCTAGGGGTAAAACCAGGCATATGAACTAACATACTGTCTAACTCCATTTGCAATGGAGATGTAATGTGCTGCTTATGATTCCAAACAGCTTAATTTAATTTAACATAAAAAACTTTTTATGTTAAAAAAAATGTTTAATGCTTTGCTTAAACTCTAGAAATGTGCAGTGGCTGCTGGGACAATTATATGAAGACATGTTACAAGCTCAGGTTCTGCTGTTGCATTAAGGAGCCAACAACCCAAATACAACAATACACAACTTGGGAGGGGAGCATGAAATCCCTATTTTATGCAAAGAGCTTTATGTTGTTTTACTGTACCTAGCGGTATAAGAAACTGCCCTTCACAGCAGCGAGAATTTTCTTTCACAGTTCTCTCTATAGCATATCCAAGACGTGTTTTACATATTTTAAAAGTGAATAATTTTCTATACAAATGTCAAACGACTTGTTCTCAAAACAGATGAATCAGCTCTTTTTAATTATTAACACAGACTAAAAGTTAAAGTTCCTTCTGCATTAAGACTTAATTTATGGCTAAATGATGTGAGTACTATGCAGTAACTTACCTAATTGCAAGTGGACTATGGCAGAAGTTTTTCCTGCAGTGAGAGACCAAACATTTAGGTCTTCTATTGAATATACATCTTCAATTTTCATTAGGTCCTCTTTAATGCGATCCATATTCAAATGCTTTGGAACTCCTACAGTATCAGAATATATGGTTAAATTTACTGTGTTTTCAAATAAATAATTCACACCCCAACCTTCAAAGTAAAATACGGTCAAAGACCTAAAAAGACAAACGATTGGTTCCTGTAACATTCAAAGTGACTAACAATATCTACATTATCAGTAAAAAAGAAGACAAGAATTACCACATTGCACAAGTCCAGTGTTAGCACAGGAACAATGTAGGAATTGCCTTATTAGCTCAGATCCAGGGGTATCCTTTCCAGCTTCCTAACTCCATGTCCTGCCATCACCAGATACTTCAGGGAAATGTATAAGAACCTTACTATGGGCAGATTGAGGGGAATGAAATTCTCACTGTAATTCTTAAGAACTACAGAGAGGTTTAAACCAAATACTTTAAGGGAATATGTAAAACCCTTCACAGTGGACAGCTGTGTACTAAAATGCTAACTGAGGAAGTTTCTTCCCAACACTGACAAATTAGTGGTTGGTTTATCTCCTGAAGTATGAGGATTAACAACACTGATAAATGATGTTGGATAATGTAACATTGGATAGTGTAATTTAAGATGATATTCAGATAAGTGTCTAATCCATTTCTGAATCCTAATCTTGGCCACAAGATATTAAGATGACAGCAAGTTCCACAGGCTAAATCTATGTTGATAGAAAGCATTTCCTTGGAATCATTTTGAAAGTTAATGCTTTTTAATGGTATCATATCATGAAGTCAAATAAAAGTATCAAATGACCTTTGTCTTTCTTAAATTCTATTATATATTCATCCTTCATAATACATTGTAAAAAATTATCTAAACTAAATATTTTCTAAGCTTTCTAACACTCTGGAAGACTTTTGGTCACACAAGTGGCTTGTTAAAAGGGCAATTAATTATTAATAAATACCATACATATATTACTGGAGCTGCTCAAGGGAAAAAGTTTTTATCCCTTGGAGAAACTATGGTATTTGAAAATTAGTTTCTAGTCTGAATTTTAAAAAAAGTCAAAATATTGAAAAATTTCAGAGAACAAAGTTTCTAAAATGCTTTAAACTGGAAATGTAAACAAAAAATTTTTTAATTTTGATCAAAATTATTCATATGTTGAAATAACACTTTCCCTTTTGAAATAATACTCAAAATGGAAGAGCATTGTTTCAAATTGACAATTTGAAACAAAAGTATAATTGTTTTAAACAGTTTGACTTGAAATAGAATGATTCAGTCTGGTTCTCCAAAGGTTTTGCCAAAAATTAATAGGTTCTCATGGAGAAAGTTTTTCTTATTTTTGCCCCTCACTGACAAGAAATTTTAACATCTCTACATAAGGACATGAGCCATACATACTAAGAACAGTAGAGTTTAATGTAAGGCCAAGATCTTCAGGAACTTCCAGGGCACTGTGGAATTCACAAGATGTCATTAGGAGGGGTAAGTGCTAGGGGCACGCAATCAGAGTGCCTTATTCACCTACTTTGATAAAAGGACACGTTTTAGATATGTGGCATGTCATCCCAACTGGGTGGGGTGACAATATTTCTTCATATGAAGTACTGGATTTGCATGTCCTGCAGCCCTTTCTGTATTAGGTGGAATCATGCATGCCAATACAACTGGCAGGTAAGGTGGCTACATGTGATCAGCCAGTGGGATTTCTTGCGCATGCTTTGTGAGCTTAATGAATTTTGGACACTGCATGCTTTTGCTTTTAAGTGGATGGCCAAGTTAAACACGTGGACCTACTGGGATCTAGGCACTTTCACTGTCTGTGTGGGGGTTTTGTGAACTTTCATTAATTTTAAATTAAGTGGTAATGAAGATTTAAGTTCCCATGGAGGCAAAAGCTGCAAACATTGTGGAAAGGCTCAAAGTTGCTATGACTGGCCTCCTCTCCTGGTGACCATTCAGGAATCTAGCCGTATGGCCTGGCAGGGCACCAAGCCTGCTTTTGGATTAAAGGGGTCAGAGGAGTTCAGTTCTCCTAGTGCAGGCTCAATCTTTTAAAATAATGGGTATCAGTCCATGGACCGGAGCCAGCCACAATCCAGCCCCTGGCGCTGCTCCTTTTGCTGCATCAGACCATCCCTAAATGCAGTACCCTGAGACCTGTGCTGCCTGCAGTGCTCACTCATGCCTGGATCCCAGACTAGCCCATTTAGATCCTGCTTCTGCTGAATCAGTCATGAGGGTGGGAGCAGAGGGTCTATTGGCTTGATCCTGACTGTGGACTGGCCCCATACCACTCACCCAGCTGAGTTTGACACCCCTGTTTTTGACTCAAGTCACCTCTTGGAAAATGCCAACTCTTCATTCTCACTTTTTTTTGTTTTTTTGTTTGTTTTTTTTTAACTACAGAATTAATCCCCATTTATAAAGGCTAAAGAGAAACCAACAAAACATGCATTGCTTTTATTTGGCAGAATGGTACTTCTTGATGTCTGGCAAGGCACAGCCACCTGTTGGAGAGCCAGAGAGAGGTTAGCGATGCCTTGCAATATGAAAGCCCGAGTCCAGAACAGCACATTACATAGGTAGCATTCCATTTCATATTCTCTTCTGATATGCTAAAAATTTGCTGACACTAATGCTGGCATCCTCAAGGAGTTTTAAGGTACCTTGGGTGCTCTTTTACGGGTTAGTACCTTGTAAATTGTGCTGTGTGATGTTCTGCCTATTTGTAGCTTGCATATTGCTGCAGTGTTTTTAGTAGATCAATAATGCATTGATAAAAGCTTTCAATAATGCATTGATAGAAGTTAAATATAGGCTTTTTAACATTTATGGCGATTCAAAAAAATACATCTTGCTTACTGAAGAGAATGCTGTGATGATAAAATGCTTTGCTAAGATTTACTAATGGCAAATATGCTAGCTACTAAGTATGCCACTAATTAAAGTATTGTTCTCCTTAAGTCAAAACACAGCACATTTTTGTAGTAGAACTACAGATGTCGAGTGGGTAAGGTAACTAGTAGGGTGAAAGTGCTAGGCTTTAGGAAAGCTGATTTCAATTAACTCAGGCGATTAGTCAAGGACACACTGCAGAGTAGGAGTTTTGAAGAGATGGGAGCCCCGGAAGGGTGGCTGTGCCTTAAGGAAATGATCCTTCGGGCACAAAGGGAGACGATCCCGATGTGAGGAAAAAGAAGGAAAGGGGCCAGGAGGCTTCCTTGGCTAACCAGAGAAAGATTATTATCAAGGCTCACATTTGCGAGAGCCCGGCAGGACAAATTATGCTGAGGGGGAACCAGCACAGGTTCGTAGCAGGTAGATCACGCCTGACTAATCTAGTCTCTTTTTATGACCAGGTTACAAAACGCCTGGACGCAGGAGTAGGGGTGGATGTGAGGGGCAGGACAAGGCTCTCACTGGGATTGTAGAGAGGCAGCAGCAAGGCACCAGACTACCATGCGTAGACCCTGAGATGGTGCAGAGTCACTTGGAGGAACTGGATGCCTTTAAGTCAGCAGGCCCGAATGAGCTCCATCTGAGGGTACTGAAGGCACTGGCTGAGGCCACTGCACAGCCACTGGCGGTAATATTTGAACACTCATGGCGCATGGGCCAGGTCCAGAAGGACTGGAAAAGGGCCAATGTGGTCCCCATTTTCAAGAAGGGGAGGAAGGAGGACCCAGGCAACTATAGGCCAGTCAGTCTCACCTCCATCCTAGGCAAAGTCTTATCAAGGCTCACATTTGCGAGAGCCCGGCAGGACAAATTA